AGGATGGTCTCGATCTCCTGACCTCGTGATCCACCCGTCTCGGCCTCCCAAAGTGCTGGGATTACAGGCTTGAGCCACCGCGCCCGGCCAATAACACTTTCTTTATACTAAATGCTTCAATCCTGTTATGTTTTACAACTTAAATGGTGGTGATTATATTGAAAGCTAAGATTCTTGCAATAAAATGGGCTAAATCATGCATAAATCTTTTCACTGTGGCATTTTTCTATCTTATGTATCTCTTATCTTTATGGACGCTTATTTTTTAAAACAAGAAAAGAGTTACTCTAATTTCTTTCTTTTGTTTATTGGATTACATATATCTTACACATTCTTTCCCATGTCCGTAGAGCATATATAAAAACTGATCATATACTAGACCACAGAGAGAAAGCCTAAGGTTTTTTTTTTTTTTTTTTTTTTTTTTTTGAGATGGATTCTGACTCTGTTGCCCAGGTTGGAGTGCAATGGCACCATCTCGGCTCACTGCAACCTCTGACTCCCTGGTTCAAGCGATGCCTCAGCCTCCTGAGTAGCTGGGATTACAGGCATGCGCCACCACGTCCGGCTAATTTTTGTATTTTTAGCAGAGATGGGGTTTCACCATGTAGGCCAGGATGGTTTTGATCTCTCGACCTCGTGATCCACCCGCCTTGGCCTTCCCAAAGAACTGGGATCACAGGCGTGAGCCACCGCACCCGGCCAAGTCCTAAATTATGAAAACTTCTACAAGTCTAATTTTCTAAATAGGAAGGGATTCAAACTCAATGATTCAAGTGTTGAAACAAACAAAAACGGAAAACAACACTTCTTAGTTAACAGATTATTGTGCTTTTGGCTTCTTGAGTAGGAGGAAAGTCGGGTGGGAAGGGCGTCAGGAATGTCCGTGACACGTGAATGGGGCCGTGTGCAAACCTTGTATGACATCACTGAGACCCGTAGCGAAAAACCGTTATTTCTTTCTAAGCCGCCCAAAGGGGTGTTGCGCCGGGGCCTCCGGGGCCGAGGTGGGCCTGCTCACTGGAAGATCGCACCGCAGCCATGAGCAGTAGGGATTTCTTCGCGTATGGGCGCTCTGGCCACTGGACTCGGGGATGCCCTAGAGGAGGAGCTGGAGGGCAAGGAGGTGGAGGCCATGGCAGAGGTTCTCAATGCAGTTCCACCACCCTATCTTACACCTGTTACCGCTGCGGTGAGTTCGGTCATCATGCTAAGAACTGTGTCCTTCTCGGAAACATCTGCTACAACTGTGGGAGAGGCGGCCACATCGCCAAAGACTGTAAGGAACCTAAACGAGAGAGAGACCAACACTGTTATACCTGCGGCAGACTAGGACATCTGGCTTATGATTGTGATCGTCAGAAAGAGCAGAAATGCTACTCTTGCGGCAAACTTGGGCACATTCAGAAAGACTGCGCCCAGGTCAAGTGCTACCGATGCGGCGAAACTGGTCATGTGGCCATCAATTGTAGCAAGGCGAGCCAGGTCAACTGCTACCGCTGTGGCGAATCCGGACATCTAGCCAGGGAATGTCCCAGTGAGGCTACCGCTTAAATTTTTCCCTTTGTCATCTTCCCCCCTCCTTTTGCTGATTGATAATTGTATTATTTTCTCTGAAAACTTCACTGACCAAAAGGTCGATAGATTGGGCTACTCTCAGGCAAGTGAGCTTTAATTACCATGTTAAAGGAGGAAAGAGCTAGGAAAAAAAAAACCAAAAACTCAAAAAAGTTAATCATTGCTAGATGCCCCACAATTAATGTGCTGCTTCTGCCCCACAGGCAAATCTAGTTATTGAATAGTCATTCTGAGCACCAATCACTTTGGGGGTTCTTTTGGTGTATTTTGATTTCACACATTTAATTAGGAGGCACTATTGGAAGAGCTGGATCCATATTGCCATATTGGTGAACAAATCAGAACAAGTTTAGAAACACAGGCCTAGAATCTATTAACAAGAAAAATATTGTGTCGGATGAAGGTAAATTGCCAGAGAGAAAAAGAACAGGAGGTAAAAGGATAAGAAGAGAATGTGTATGTGGGGGAAAGAGGGAAAGAATGTGGTTCCGTTTTAGATACACAAGGCCACCCTGAGGAGGTTATATTTCCTCAGAGATCCATAGGGCAAATAAAGCTGATTCTGAAAATCCATGACCTTGCCAAAGTAACTTTAATTTTATCACATTGATGGCTTTGAATTATCTGGCCTCATTAGCTTTTAAACAACACTGAAAGAGACATCCCTGTCTGGCCCTGCACAGGGTGTGTAGTTTAATGAAAATAAACCTGGCCAGGCGCGGTGGCTCAAGCCTGTAATCCCAACACTTTGGGAGGCCGAGGTGGGAGATGGAGACCATCCTGTCTAACATGGTGAAACCCCGTCTCTACTAAAAATACAAAATTAGCCAGGCATGGTGGTGTATGCCTGTAATACTAGCTACTCAGGAGGCTGAGGCAGGAGAATTGCTTGAACCCGGGAGGCGGAAGTTGCAGTGAGCCGAGATTGCACCATTGCACTCAAGCCTGGGCAACAAGTGCGAAACTCCATCTCAAAAGAAAAAACTTATTTTTAGTCTCTCTGGAACAAAAGCGAAGCTCAGGAAGCAAAAAACACACATTTCTGTGGAAAACTTTCAGGTGCACTACTCCCTGTAGTCTTGCAAAAGTCACAGCCAGCATTCTGTACTTGAGTCCATAACCCATGCTGTATGCTTTGGGACACGGGTAGACAACTATATAACATCCACCACACAAGTTTTAGGTAAAACTGCTTATATAAGCCCTGTATTAATAGATACAAACAGGAAGGCACACCAATAGAGACTAAAAAAGCGTTTTATAAAATTGAAGCGTCTTCCTGATTTATGAACAAAATATCTGTTAAAAAATAAGATAGGGCTAACAGGGTTTCTGCTTCTGAGAAGATGAAATACAAGTACTATTCTTCTGGCTAAATGCAAAAAAAATACCTCTGAACATTGTATATAAAATACACATAAGAAAACTGGGCTGGGCGCGGTGACTCACGCCTGTAATCCCAGCACTTTGGGAGGCCAAGGTGGGCGGATCACGAGGTCAGGAGTTTGAGACCAGCCTGACCAACATGGTGAAACCCCGTATCTACTAAAAATACAAAAATTAGTTGGGTGTGGTGGCTCATGCCTGTAATCCCAGCACTTTGGGAGGCCAAGGCAGGTGGATCACCTGAGGTTGGGAGTTCAAGACCAGCCTGACCAACATGGAGAAACCTCGTCTCTACTAAAAATACAAAATTAGCCAGGCGTGGTGGTGCATGCCTGTAATCCCAGCTACTTGGGAGGCTGAGGCAGGAGAATCGCTTGAACCCCAGAGGCAGAGGTTGCAGTGAGCTGAGATTGTACCATTGCACTCCAGTCTGGGTGACAGAGCAAGACTCTGTCTCAAAAAAAAAAAAAAAGGAAAAGAAAAAAGAAAAGAGACAATGATGTAGGATTTTTCTTTTCTTTTTTTTTTTTTTTTTTTTTTTTGAGACGGAGTCTCGCTCTGTTGCCCAGGCTGGAGTGCAGTGGCCGGATCTCAGCTCACTGCAAGCTCTGCCTCCCAGGTTCACGCCATTCTCCTGCCTCAGCCTCCCGAGTAGCTGGGATAACAGGTGCCCGCCACCTCGCCTGGCTAATTTTTTTTGTATTTTTAGTAGAGACGGGGTTTCACCGTGTTAGCCAGGATGGTCTTGATCTCCTGACCTCGTAATCCACCCGTCTCGGCCTCCCAAAGTGCTGGGATTACAGGCTTGAGCCACTGCGCCCGGCCTCAGGATTTTTCACTCACTATGTTTTTCAACATAGTGATGGAAGTTCAAGTTAGTGCAATAAGGCGCTAATAGAAGATAAAAGGCATACGTATCAGAGAGGAAAGACCAAAAAGGTTCCTATTTGCAGATGACATGATTGTCTACGTAGAAAATCTCAAATAATTACTGGGAAAACACACACACACAAAAACCTCCTAGAACTGATGATTATAGCAGGGTTGCAAGAAACAAGGAAAACATACAAAAATCAATTGTATTTCTATATATTAGTAATGACTACATGGATGCTAAAATTAAAATATGATACCAGTTAATAGTCACTCAAAAGTGAAATAACTAAGTGTAAATTAATGAAACATGTACAGTAATTGTATGCTGAAAAGTAAAAAATACTGATGAAGGAAATCAAAGATCTAAATACATGGAGAAACATATTATGTTCATAGATTGGCTCAGCAAATAAAATATATCTATTCTCCTCAAATCGATATACAGGTTTGATGGAATTTCTGTTACAATCCCAGCAAGATTTTTTGTAGATATAGATTATTCTAAAATTTGTAGAGAAAGGCAAAGGAACTAGAATAGCTGAAGGAATTTTGAAAAATAAGGATAAAATGGGAAGAATCAGTCTACTTTATTTAAAAATATATAGTTATAATAAACAAGATAGAATGATATAGGTAGAGATATAGGCATGTAGATCAATGTCACAGAATAAAAAAAGAAGTAAACACGTACAAATATGCCCAACTGAGTGGTGATCATTATGCTGCTGGAATCATACTCCAAGGATATGACCCTCTCATTCATGCCCAAAAAAGGAAAAAGGCTGAGTACTTGGGAAGTCCAAGGGTAAGAGGTGAAAGCAGAGAGCCTTTAAGGATCTCAAAAGCATCATTGGATAGGGAATCCCAGATTACTGGGTCTGGGGAGACTCCCTAGTCATAGCATAGAGGAATGAGGCAATCATGGAGAAATTAGGTGTCCACATCCTACCATTTCCTCTTGGTTGTCATTTTGTTTCAGGGAAAGTAAAATGTGAAATAGTAGAGGCCCAGAGACAGTTTTGCCCATGGCTGAGAAATCATGACCCAGGTATCACACACACAATTATCATAATTGAGTTTTATTTCTAGCCACCTTGTGGTCCTTTCTAAGGCCTTAAGATGATATTCAGTGTCCAAAAGGGAGTTGTCATAAATGTCAGAACATAGAAGGAGGTTATCTACATATTGGACTAAAGTGATGTCTCCTAGGAATTTTAACTCCCTCAACCGGACATTTAAGGTATGCAAGAAAGAGGTAAGGGTCTCAGTAAATTTTGGGGGCATAATGGTCTAGGTATATTGTGGGTTTTCACAGGTGAAGGCAAGCATGTATTGAGATTTCTTATGAAGGGGAATACTACAACAAGGCAAAACATAAATTGATGTCTATGAAATATTGGGTGTTAGAAAGGGTAGCAAACTGGATAGTGTTAGGATCAGGCACCAAAGGAAATCTATGTTTGACCATTTTACTGATAGATCTCAGATCTTAGACTAACCAATATCATTTCCCTTTTTCTTTTTTTTTGGAAACAGGGTCTCGCTGTATTTCCCAGGCTGGAGTATGATGGCTATTCACAGGCATGATCATAGTGCACTGCAGCCTCAAACTCCTGGGCTCATTCAATCCTTTTGCTTTAGCGTCCCAAGTAACTGGGACTACAGATGTGCACCTGGCTCCATTTTGTTTTTTAATGGCCAAGATGGTTGTATTGCATGGATTAGAAGTTGTGACAAGAAGTTTCCTTATCAAATAAACTTTGGATTATTGAGCAGGGTCACTCATGTTCTTCTCGTTTTAAACGATATTTGGGAATCTTGGGGAGGAGTACAGAAGAATTTATTTCTACCTTAAGGAGCTCTGCATCCAATATATGCCCAATCTTGGTGGAGTTTTTTTTGCCCCTAATGAAGGAATTCTGTCTAACACTTTATTTAAATCTTTAGTTAAGTAAGTTCTAGGTTGAAGGGGGCAAAGTAACTCAGATCAGAAAAAAAGGTTAGGAGACATAATCATGGAGGAGAGGAGTCAGGGACCTGTAGAAGTCCTTTAAGGGTACAATAAATTTTTAAACTCCAATTTATAAGAAGATCCTTTCCTAAGAGTTTTACTGGGGTAGTAGAAATGAGAAGGAAGTTGTGTTGAGTTTTGATGGGTCTCATAGAAACGTTAAAAGGTTGAGAAAGCAGCAAATTGTGAGGTAAATTATCAAAACCCACCACTGGTAGTTGGGTGAGTCCAAGGAAGGAAGGCAAAAAATGAAGTGGTGCCAAAGGTATCGATGAAAACTTTGGTGATGCCCTTCAACTTGTAGGGTAATTTTCCCTTGTGAATTTAATGGTAGTTGAGAGCATTGGAGGACAGTCAACAAGTTTCTGATGAGGTAACCAGAGGGCCCCCTAAGGAGGGGGGCTCAGGTTTTTATCCTTCCTCTTGTGGTCCAGGAAAACCTGGACAATGTGTCCTTCTTCCTTACAATTTTGGTGGGTGTCCCAATTAATGTAAATGTGATTTTGGAGTTTGCCACAGATTAAATTTTTCAGGTTTTTCTAACTATTTTAATGTCAATGCCATAAGCTTGATTCTGCATTTTCCAATTTGTTTTGTTTTGTTTTGTTTTTTGTTTGTTTGTTTGTTTGTTTGTTTTTTGAGACTGAGTCTCGCTCTGTCATCTAGGCTGGAGTGCAATGGTGTGATCTCAGCTCATCGCAGCCTCCACCTTCCAGGTTCAAGCGATTCTCCTGAGGCATCTGCCACCACACCTGGCTAATTTTTTGTATTTTTGGTAGAAATGGGGATTCACCAGGTTGGCCAGGCTGGTCTTGAACTCCTGACCTCAGATGATCCACCCACCTTGGCCTCCCAAAGTGCTGGGATTACAAGTGTGAGCCACCACGCCCAGCCCCCAATTTTTAAAAAATACTCTTTTCATAATGTTGGGCTAATGTCGAGTTCAGACATGTTTGGATTGTGTCAGCTA